TCCTGCTGGGATTATAGTTGGACTGGATCCAGTTGATTATCATTTCAGCTCACTGTCACTCATAGTGAGGCAGGTTCCCGGACCCAATTATCTTTGAAAACACAACCACAGAGGCTGGATGTGATCAATGAGGCCGATGCCAGCGTCAATATGCTCCGAGTCAAGCCTATTGATCAGTGGATGTGTATAGACAGATGTTGTGAGCTGTATAATGTCAGCGGGCCGGTGCGTGTGAGGCTGAGGGGAGGACTGGAGAGAAAGTGAGCTGAAAGGGGTGGAGTTGGAAGGCGGTTGATGGGGGTTGGGTAATCCAATGGCGAGAGCGCCAGGAGTCTCAGGTGTGCATCGTCAAGACGAAGAGGTGACTGTTTGCTGGGTCCCTGAGCCCCCTGGGAGGGGATCAGGACCTGCCCTGACTCTCAGGCTCCCAGCTCACGACAGCAGGGTGACGAGGCGCCCCAGCGGCCCCTCCTCCCCCACCCCTTCCCACAACTGCTCCTGCAATTAAAAGTCTGGTTCAGTTGCTGGCGAAAGCACAATAAAATACAGAGGACAACAACTCTCTCACCTTACGCTCTGGGATTCAGACAAACATAGACACGCAAGTACACACACACACACACACACACACACACACACACACACACACACACACACACACACACACACACAAGTAAGGACTCCGCTTCCTCTTTTTTTTCTGAAAGAGGCTCAGATTTTGATAAAATCAAATTCTGATTCGTGTCTTGAATGCTGCCTTCAAACAGCTCCCTAAATATTGCGAGCAGCTGAATATCACTTAGTTTCAGAATCAATATTTTCAACGACATAGTGGTCCCACCAATAGGAGCCATTGAGATTTTCATGACGTTCACACTCAAAATATAATTTTCTTTATAATTTATGCTGAGCATGATGAATTTGGCCAGGTATAAAGTAAAAAAAGATGAAACCACAGTTTCTTACACTCCATTAAGTGAGAATCTTCTCCCTGGTTGTGTTTTCATTGTTAAGTACCCAATGATAGCATATAATCACGAAACATGAGGATGATGTACCAAGTCTGTGAGCCCCAATTATTGAAACTTACATTTGCACAATGATCGCCAATTGAGTTGTTTGTTTCCATGGATGTTTATTTCTTCATGGTTGTTTCGGGGTCTGTGCGATAACAAACAAAAGAAAACCAAAAAACACTCTCCGCTAAAGAGAGCACTGTGCAGAAAATCACACCAAGGCCAAAACGCAACTCAATTTAGCTTTATTTACATGGGCTTTTCGCAACAGCCACAGCTGTTCCGAAGCGCTGTCCACATGAACAAAAGTGAAAACTAAGTATAGCTACTGTACTGGATCAGCACTTGTATGTGGACCTGCATGAGAAAAAAAAAAGGGTTTCTTCATTAGCCTACATACATGCAATGGTGAGTTTTTTCTTCAAGATGTTTAGATTAGGGGGTGGCATAGGAGTGGATTTTCACTCCCGTCCCATCCCGGTCCCACAAAAAAAAAAAAATAATTAAAAATCCTGTCTCATCCCAACAACTCCCGGTGAAAACTGCCAGAGCGGCATGCTCCTCCCGTTTTGAATGAGTCACACTCCGATTTTGGAGGTCAGCTACATTAAAAATGGCTGCGAATCTGTCCGAGTTTTTCTACTGGATCATTCCACACCTGTGAATTTTTCATCCTGTACTGTCCCAAGCCCCATATTTAAGTTATCTCGTTGGAATTCCGCAGATTCACGCGTCCTGCGTAACTCCCAAAAATATGTCATCAACTAGTATAGACAAATATGGAAGTAATAAAACATAGCATGTTTTTACCTTGGCATAGGTATGCATCGCACTAAATTGGCTTCAAACATTTTCACTTAATCATGTATATGCACTCAAAGAATAAATACATCAATGGGTTGAGGTGTTGAAAGGCATGGAGTACCAACAATATGAATAAATGTGAAAATAATTTTAGTACAAGCCAAATGTTTCATCATTTCCATTTTTCTTATCTACATCTGAAAGTTTTTTTAGAACTGTGTGATGTCTGGTTGTTGAATTAATACAAAACAACAGGAGGCTACTGTTAAATTGCATCTGTCCAGCACGAATATATATTCATTGTGAATTGTGTTTGGAATGGAAGTGTGTAATTAGTATTTGCTTTGGCTGGATGTTTCACATTTATAATTCATAAATCTGTAACCCACACAAGTGTTTAATTATTGCCCCCCATGTGAGTGACTTTTGCATGAAAACACTGAAGAATTATTCATACATGACAATAAAAAGATGGAAAATTATTATCTAATCTGATTTTTGTTTGTTTGTTTTCATTGCTCTCAATGAAAAAAAACACCATGAAGCATTCGGCTACTTTGATTAAAAAAAAATATATATATAAAAAATTCAAGCTCCTCTTGCATCGTAAAGTTCGCTTCAAGAACTGCACCACAGCCGGAGGAAAATCTGTTTCGCATTCAGCCACTGAGTTCCTAAAGCAAAGTTCTTTCATTGATGATGAACAATTGTTGCTCTCAGACTTTTTTATGATATATGCACGCATTAAGAGTAACTGGTTATTCCACGGAACTAACCTTTCTGGCGATCCTTTTTAGTGTGAAATCACGAATGGTCTGTTTCATATGAGGGATTAGAATCATATCCTCACTAAAAGTATGATATAACGAAAGCCCAAAAACTCTGAAGAGCCTTAATGAGATAAATTACACACCTCGAAGAGATTTTATGATTTTTTTTTTTCAAAATTTAGAACAGTTTCCATGTTTCTTAATTCAAAGTTCCTGACAATATCCATCCAACTACAAGAAGGAGAAAGAACTATTGTACACTTAATACTTTGGTTGAACAGTTACAGTTTCTGTTTCTTCCAAGCGATGAAAATGGCTTTCATTCCCATGACGACTGGGGACTTCGCGACATCACGCAACAAAGCAAGCGGTTACTCAGTGTTGCCGATTTAGCGGCAAAGTCGCTATATTTAGCGACGATTCCATCCTCTCGAGTCACATTTCTTTTTCTTTCTAAAAAGGTGTTATTTCAGACTTCTGGAGACTTTGAGACTATCTCTAGAGCAGGAAGAGGTCACCCCTCCATGTCCAGATGGCAGAAATTAAAGTCACTTGTGCTAAGCCGTCATTCTCTAACTATGTAATATAGTAAACATCCAGGATATTTTTTATTTGAAACTAAGAATGAATCTTCTAATTAAAGAAGTTAAACATAGCAACTGAATCAGACCATTTATTTCTTTTTTTTACTCGTACTCTTCTACTGTGTCATTTTATGTTCTATGTCTTGAATATAGAATTTTTGTGTCACCGATATGCATTTCTTTCACACTGATGCATGAGCCCAATTAAGGAGATTACCAAAGGTCAAAGTTGAAGAAAATGCAGACTAAGGAGGTGAATGTGAACGTGGAATACAGGTGTGTTGGCGTACATGAGACCAGAACCCTCATGCTAATACTGATATTGCGATTTGGGTGATTTAGTTGACATATAACTTGTGACACGGGAGATGCTATTTATCATGTTCCTCATTTTCATTATCTTGAGTCACATGGATGGTTTGCAATCTCCCCTCATTAGCCCAGACTCATTTAAAAAACACAGCACACATTTTCGTTGTACGGATTCATCCATCTTGAGGTCTTCTTGTCCCTCTATTGCCAAGAAGATCACTCCAAAGACAGTCATCCATTGTCCTTCCTACTTATCTTCACTAGGGTGACGGTTGTGCTACAGAGACTATCCCAGCAAGTGGCAGGAGACACCCCGAACAGGTCACCAGACAATCACAACACTCCAAGACAAAGGCCTACCAAAAATGTTGCTGAATGACATGCGTTATTATCATTCTATCAAATTCATCTGTCAGCTGCCAGGAGGATTTAAGACTTAAAAGCTGTAGGTGTCAGTTTTTTCACAACTATGAATATATGCTGCATGATTGCCTCCACATCAATAAACTCCACCACTTACACTTACACTTACACTTCCTGCGCCACAACTTAGACCTGCTTTTAGCTGCTCTAATGATTAATCTACTTCCAGACACCAAATATTCAGTTGTGCCAAGGGCATGTAAAAGAAAATGCCCTCAATATGCCGAACCGCCCTGCATGGCACAACACCGTTGTGCCAAATTTCCTAACACGCTAAAGGAGGACACAAAACATGCTCCATGAAGACAACATGTCTCTTGATCTTCTCTCCTGAACACCCTGTCTGATGCTTTCTCGTGTATGTTCTCTTTTTGAAAATGCCGGCTACAAACCGTAATGTTTTATCCTAAAGTTTTTTTCTTCAAATGGCGACAATACATTGTCGTCAAATCTTCTCCCCCATGAGAAGTGACGGTTGTGCTACAGAGACTATCCCAGCAAGTGGCAGGAGACACCCCGAACAGGTCACCAGACAATCACAACACTCCAAGACAAAGGCCTACCAAAAATGTTGCTGAATGACATGCGTTATTATCATTCTATCAAATTCATCTGTCAGCTGCCAGGAGGATTTAAGACTTAAAAGCTGTAGGTGTCAGTTTTTTCACAACTATGAATATATGCTGCATGATTGCCTCCACATCAATAAACTCCACCACTTACACTTACACTTACACTTCCTGCGCCACAACTTAGACCTGCTTTTAGCTGCTCTAATGATTAATCTACTTCCAGACACCAAATATTCAGTTGTGCCAAGGGCATGTAAAAGAAAATGCCCTCAATATGCCGAACCGCCCTGCATGGCACAACACCGTTGTGCCAAATTTCCTAACACGCTAAAGGAGGACACAAAACATGCTCCATGAAGACAACATGTCTCTTGATCTTCTCTCCTGAACACCCTGTCTGATGCTTTCTCGTGTATGTTCTCTTTTTGAAAATGCCGGCTACAAACCGTAATGTTTTATCCTAAAGTTTTTTTCTTCAAATGGCGACAATACATTGTCGTCAAATCTTCTCCCCCATGAGAAATGTAAAAACTACACTTAGGCGAAACCTGACACAAAGGCACACAGTAACGCTCAGAACTTTATCAATTCCCTTTTAGTACATAGCAGATGGTGTTTTGAAAAATCGAACCGAATGCTGAAGATATTCTGACAACCGGAAATAGTTGGGCCGTCTGCGATTTTATGTAGAGGTCAAGCATTGGCATATAGTCGTTTGTCTAGGAAAAGACGGATGATTGATAATCTGGGAAAACCTACTTTTTACTTTTACTTCACAGTAGGAGGACAGGTGGTACTCTCTTTCAGCCCCAGGAAATCCAGCTTAGTGTTAGCCAAGGCTGCTTTCATGGCCCCAGGCTACAGGAGGGACAGAGAGGCAGCAGGCAGCAGGTATTTGCCGCCATGAGGTAGATTTAGCAGTTGTGTTAAGCTTTCGTTTTGGTCCACACAAACGCGCGCGCACACACACAGACACCACCGCTCCCACCATAAGCCATCATTTGATCAAACCAGACAACCTCCACAAACACATCTCAAGGAGAGTTTTAAGAGAACCATTAGATAAAGATGAAAGTTTGGTTAGCAGCCTTGACAGCAACTTGGCAGGTTGCCAGTGCAGGTAGCTAAAAATACCATTGTGTTGAAGTTACATATGGCAGCAATGCGTGAATGTGGCTGTGAATCATTGATTTTATTTATTTATTTTTTTTGTGCCCTGCAAATGACTGGCGACCAGTCCAGGATTGTAACCCGCTGTAAAAATCAGCATTTAGGCTTCAGCTCACACCCATCTCGAATGAGGACAAGCAGTATAGAACATGGATGACGTTACATACAAGTACATGTCAAACTTTATTTTTTCATACCTTGTTTTCTTTATATCATACTGATATTGATTGGAATAGTTTAGGGATGTTCATATTCAAAACCCTTCCATTTGCGCTGCGGCGTCATACTTTTTCAAACAACAAGCACAATCATGAACTACACTCTCGCGGTGTCGTACATTTCGCAGGTTAGCCTCTCTGCACAGTTGTGATTACTTTCACATGTATTTCCTGTCTGCCTTCCTTTCTCACACCTGGTAGATTCTCTCAGGTGAGGAAGTGTATGTGTAGGCTAGCAGCTGTTGTGTCCAATATCTGTTGGAGAATGTTTCCCTGACTATTGTCTACTCTATGAACATTGTCATTTCATAGTAAATGGAATCAATTCATCAAAGTCCCACCTGCATTCCAAAAAAAATTAATCAACCTTTGACATTGAGCGGTACAGAATGTCTCAGTTATAAAATGTCAGCTCATCAGGGTATCTTTTTGTGGTGCGTGAAATGTCTTTCTGTCTTTGCCTCTTGGATGTTATAGTGGGGGCTTTGTGTGGCATGCACAATTTAGTACATAAGAGTTTGGCCCTGGCACTTTGAACTTACTGTTCAGTGCCTGCAAAGTCGAAAACTCAGTCGATGGGCTTTTTGTTCTCCATTTCATTAGGTACATACATCAGTCATGCAAGATTATACGTGTTTGTGTGACCATTGTCATCACTGTTTTGTGCCCGGGTTTGCCCCCCCCCCCCCCCCATTTTCCATAGTGTGTTGTAAACGTGCGTGTGTGTGTGTGTGTGGCGTGTGTGTCTTGTATGTGTTGTCTTTGTTGTGTGTGTCTAATCCCCAGGTCCCCAGGGCTCCAGAGGAACAGCTGAAGCAGGGGCAGTGGTGGCTTGTCATCGTGGGGCTCCCGCTGTTTCCCTCCCTTTCACTGCTCCCCATATGGTCCTGCAGTACCGGATCCCCAGGGGCCTGTTAACGCCACACCACCCAGGCCCGGGCCCTGCCACCAGGTCTCTCTCACCTCCTGTCTCACCCCTGCTCCAGGGCTCATCGTCACCCCAATGTCCCCTCTACCCTGTTCCCCCACACCCCACCCGCTTTTGATTGTGCGGATCACGCTGCGGTATGAACCATGATTTTCTCACTGTTTTTGTTGTCGTTTCTTAACGAGATATACCGCTATGCCTATTCTTCCTTTTTTACCTTTAAATTGATGTTTTTTTTCATCTACTTTATTTGTGGCCTTTTCATTAGGTTATGCACTCCAGTGAGGAATGGTTTTTTTACCGTATGTGGAGTCACCAAGTGGATTTTATAACTACCGGAAGAAGAATGTTTTACTACAAGTCTTTTTTTTTCCTACCAATAATATTTCTTATTCAAAGAACCTTAGCAGCTCACCTCACCAACAGCATGACATATTCTGACTGTTTGACCACAGCATGTTTAGTGGTCCTCAGTGATGCCAACGCTGTCTCTTTAAAGAGTGATTTAAACTCTGCAGGCCCTCAGCAGACCTTGCTGCTAAAAGTACTTCAGTTCATCTTCACCAACCGAGCCCCAAGCCTCTCTAAATCAGCTGTCACAACCTCTAGGGGATTAGTCAAGATTTATAAGTGAACAGGGATTGCTTTTTCACACAACTTATCAAACAGATCATAAAACACCATCGTTGGGATTTGACTGTTTGGTTACACATGTTGGAGCTGCGCCTTATGGTAATGCTGTAGGGTTTGCACGTGAGAGGGAATATCTGATCTTTTTTTTTTAAATGTCTTTTCCATCTAAGTCACCCCACTGAAATGAATGACTATGGCATCGCAGTTGTTTTGAAAATTGATGCATCCACAGGATGCATTGTATCACCTATCTGCATAATCATATGCATGTTTGACCAATTAAACTTGGGGTTTTATTATTATGATCGATGCTGACTATAAAACGTACACACTGAGTCCATTTGACTGGAGCCACATATTGCGGCGTAGCGCCCTCTATTGACAGTGAAGGGGAACACACTTCAAAACGCATCAATTCAAGAGAGTGAAGTGCATGACATTCTCGCTGCACTGTATACCTAAATCCCTGCACTATAAAGTTAAACTTCCACATAGACAGTGCAATTATTCCATTCGTTGTGGTTTCTTGATGTTCCCTGCTTGGATTTGGGGATTGATACAATCGATTAAACAGTAATAATGCAGCCAATAATTTAATATGAAAATCTTGTCGGAGGTGTGTCAGAAAAGTTCCAGGACCTCTGTCACGAAAGATAGATTTCAAATTCAAACTACAAAATTACAGAGCTAAACACACTTTCTGAGCCTTCTCTGCTACACCTTGATACAGTCATGGATCTTTCCAGGATCCTTGCACTTCCATCGTCCCAGCTGTCTTTATGTCATTCATGTCTTCAAAACAGGGCCCTTTGGCAATGCCTTTGAGCTTTGGAGGGGCATGGGGGGGATCATACCAAGCCAGGTCAGGTAGCGGAGGTATTCAAGCACCGTTTCAAAGCTTTAAAGATTTAGATCGAGATTTGGCATCACACTGAGGCTTAACCACTGCTGACAATTTCTTGACAATTCAAGCTGTACACAGATAGAGAGGGCCAGGAAATTCTCATCTCTTTGAGGCACTTTGAAACTCAATCGCTTCGTGTTCCGTGTTGTGTCTTGGAGTGCAATATCCTCTGCTGCTCTGTTGCTGTCATCAGCTGCCTCTCTCCGCTCCTCTCATTCTGTTTCCACTTTCATGCACTACAACACAACCCGTCTGCTCCAGCCCCCTCCACCAGTGCACAGGAGCCGAGTGGAGCCTGCAGCTGGCCAAGGCCTCCCCTCCTCTGGGTCACAGACACTGCAAGAGGGTGGGGATCTGGATCCAGCTTAAAGAAAAGCAAGCAGATCAAGGACAATAATATAATTCACCATGTGAACAACAGTAAACCCTCACCAACCATCTTGTTGCTCCCCCCCCCCCCCCATTTTCCATAGTGTGTTGTAAACGTGCGTGTGTGTGTGTGTGTGGCGTGTGTGTCTTGTATGTGTTGTCTTTGTTGTGTGTGTCTAATCCCCAGGTCCCCAGGGCTCCAGAGGAACAGCTGAAGCAGGGGCAGTGGTGGCTTGTCATCGTGGGGCTCCCGCTGTTTCCCTCCCTTTCACTGCTCCCCATATGGTCCTGCAGTACCGGATCCCCAGGGGCCTGTTAACGCCACACCACCCAGGCCCGGGCCCTGCCACCAGGTCTCTCTCACCTCCTGTCTCACCCCTGCTCCAGGGCTCATCGTCACCCCAATGTCCCCTCTACCCTGTTCCCCCACACCCCACCCGCTTTTGATTGTGCGGATCACGCTGCGGTATGAACCATGATTTTCTCACTGTTTTTGTTGTCGTTTCTTAACGAGATATACCGCTATGCCTATTCTTCCTTTTTTACCTTTAAATTGATGTTTTTTTTCATCTACTTTATTTGTGGCCTTTTCATTAGGTTATGCACTCCAGTGAGGAATGGTTTTTTTTACCGTATGTGGAGTCACCAAGTGGATTTTATAACTACCGGAAGAAGAATGTTTTACTACAAGTCTTTTTTTTTCCTACCAATAATATTTCTTATTCAAAGAACCTTAGCAGCTCACCTCACCAACAGCATGACATATTCTGACTGTTTGACCACAGCATGTTTAGTGGTCCTCAGTGATGCCAACGCTGTCTCTTTAAAGAGTGATTTAAACTCTGCAGGCCCTCAGCAGACCTTGCTGCTAAAAGTACTTCAGTTCATCTTCACCAACCGAGCCCCAAGCCTCTCTAAATCAGCTGTCACAACCTCTAGGGGATTAGTCAAGATTTATAAGTGAACAGGGATTGCTTTTTCACACAACTTATCAAACAGATCATAAAACACCATCGTTGGGATTTGACTGTTTGGTTACACATGTTGGAGCTGCGCCTTATGGTAATGCTGTAGGGTTTGCACGTGAGAGGGAATATCTGATCTTTTTTTTTTAAATGTCTTTTCCATCTAAGTCACCCCACTGAAATGAATGACTATGGCATCGCAGTTGTTTTGAAAATTGATGCATCCACAGGAACAATTATTGTATCACCTATCTGCATAATCATATGCATGTTTGACCAATTAAACTTGGGGTTTTATTATTATGATCGATGCTGACTATAAAACGTACACACTGAGTCCATTTGACTGGAGCCACATATTGCGGCGTAGCGCCCTCTATTGACAGTGAAGGGGAACACACTTCAAAACGCATCAATTCAAGAGAGTGAAGTGCATGACATTCTATTGTATCACCTATCTGCATAATCATATGCATGTTTGACCAATTAAACTTGGGGTTTTATTATTATGATCGATGCTGACTATAAAACGTACACACTGAGTCCATTTGACTGGAGCCACATATTGCGGCGTAGCGCCCTCTATTGACAGTGAAGGGGAACACACTTCAAAACGCATCAATTCAAGAGAGTGAAGTGCATGACATTCTCGCTGCACTGTATACCTAAATCCCTGCACTATAAAGTTAAACTTCCACATAGACAGTGCAATTATTCCATTCGTTGTGGTTTCTTGATGTTCCCTGCTTGGATTTGGGGATTGATACAATCGATTAAACAGTAATAATGCAGCCAATAATTTAATATGAAAATCTTGTCGGAGGTGTGTCAGAAAAGTTCCAGGACCTCTGTCACGAAAGATAGATTTCAAATTCAAACTACAAAATTACAGAGCTAAACACACTTTCTGAGCCTTCTCTGCTACACCTCGATACAGTCATGGATCTTTCCAGGATCCTCGCACTTCCATCGTCCCAGCTGTCTTTATGTCATTCATGTCTTCAAAACAGGGCCCTTTGGCAATGCCTTTGAGCTTTGGAGGGGCATGGGGGGGATCATACCAAGCCAGGTCAGGTAGCGGAGGTATTCAAGCACCGTTTCAAAGCTTTAAAGATTTAGATCGAGATTTGGCATCACACTGAGGCTTAACCACTGCTGACAATTTCTTGACAATTCAAGCTGTACACAGATAGAGAGGGCCAGGAAATTCTCATCTCTTTGAGGCACTTTGAAACTCAATCGCTTCGTGTTCCATGTTGTGTCTTGGAGTGCAATATCCTCTGCTGCTCTGTTGCTGTCATCAGCTGCCTCTCTCCGCTCCTCTCATTCTGTTTCCACTTTCATGCACTACAACACAACCCGTCTGCTCCAGCCCCCTCCACCAGTGCACAGGAGCCGAGTGGAGCCTGCAGCTGGCCAAGGCCTCCCCTCCTCTGGGTCACAGACACTGCAAGAGGGTGGGGATCTGGATCCAGCTTAAAGAAAAGCAAGCAGATCAAGGACAATAATATAATTCACCATGTGAACAACAGTAAACCCTCACCAACCATCTTTAACGCTCCACCTAGCCTCATCTCAACTATAGTTCTCCATGTTTGCAAGAGGGACATGCAGTGTTTCACAAAACAGTATGAGCATCCAAGAGGAAATAAATCAAAGGCCAAGGCCTTAGTTTACTTTATTCTTGTGATTAATGAACTCTATTTTCCTTCACCAAAATGATCTCACATCACATCATCTTTGTGATGTGAACTATAGTAAGAACTAGTGTTTTGCCCCAATTCGCTCTACTCAATTGACCCTTATTTGTACAAACTTACTTTCCACTGCTCCAAAGGATTTTTATGCGGGTATTGTTGGAATACATTGTCTGTCCTCAGTAGTCCACTGTGTGGCCCCGCCCTCTGTTGTGTTTTGTGACCTTTCGCTAAATTCAGTGTGGGCTTCGCATCTCCCCAATCATTGCACCTGTCTTACCTACAAAACTGCCAGTCTTCACCTCGTCAGCCACTCTCACCCCTAAAAGCCTGCCTAAAGAGCCACCCATTGCCAGTTCGTCAGCTATCTTCCCAGCCGTTCTTGCTGCCGCCTAGCTGTTACGTGCAAGCCTTCCTGTCCACCTTGTTTTGATTCCTCCGACTGTTTTTGGTTCCTGTCCCTCTTCCTTAAAATAAACCAGATCTGAGTTCATTGTGTCTGCCTGTGGGTCCTGTGCTCATCTCAAGCCCAGCCTAATGGGTATACAGTGGTTACACTGTTGAAAGTGAACGGGAGACCTCTAATTCAGATCAGGGTCCACTATGGACTTGGCTGTCAGTCAATCTCGGGGTGCAGATAGAAAAATAACACACGCACACACACACGCGCACACACGCACACACGCACGCACACGCACACACACACACCTATGGACGATTTAGAGTCTTAATTGAAGCTATGATGTATGCTTTTAGAATGTGGGAGGAGGCTGGAGTACCCGGAGAAATCCCACGCAAACACACAGACGATAAACAATGAAAAATCCACAGAGAAACCCTCAACCAGAGTCTTGGACACTCATTCTTACAGTCGAGGGAAGACAGGAAATAGCCCTGAAGTCCAGGTATCCTTCACTTCGGCCCTTGGGCCATAGAGACAAAAATCCTAGTGCTCCCTTTATGATCTTGGAACCTCAAAGAGAAACGATGAATGCCTGGATAAAGTCTAATTGACAAAATTAAAAAGTTCAATGTAGCCAACAGAAATTTATGAATGAAAAAGTATTTGCTGTCAGCTCAAAGTGCAGCTTGAAATCATATTCCTATTGGCACTTTTAAAATGGGTTTGATAGAGAATTTAGTGGACTTTTTTTCAACTGCGAGGAGCAATTCTGAATGTTGATTTTGAACGTGTGAATCACAAACAACTATAGTCATCAAAATTGCACCGTGAGTTTGATACAGTATTGAATCTTTTGTTTAGGTGATCAACGCCGGTGTCACAGTTCAACTAGCCTCCAGATTAACTGGCTCCCGATTCCATTTGTTGCCGTGAGGGCAATGTCAGTCCAGTAATTTTGTGTTCCCTGTCTTCAGATTCATCACATGCTACATCGAAATTGTTCAATTGCAGACCTGTTCAATTTTTCAAGAAGCACGTGAAACAAAGCGTCTCGCTTAAAATTTCCCACTTGCTACAAGAAATTGCAAATCGCGTACAAAATAAAAACTGAGTACAAAATAATATCAAGATAAAGATTGCCACTTGAACCCGTGATGCAAAAGAATAAAGCAACACCCTGTTAGCAAACACTCTACCCACTATGACACCAAATGACTCACTTTTGCTCGCGCAAAATTTGTACTTGTAGATCAAAACAAGTTCCACGGTGGCCCAAGTTAATCTGGTGCTCAATGTATACGCCCGTGTCAACTAGCTTCTGGGAAGCAAATTGACATGGTTGCAGTGTTGTTTTCCCCCTAATTAAAGTTCATACCTGACACTCATCATCTCGGAAATCAATGATGAGAACTACAGGTGTGCATGAATGTAAAAAGATTTGATGTCAAAAAGAAGCATTAAAATGTTTGAAACGATACTTTGATCGGCTCCGTGCTCACTACGTCTGAAAGGGGAAGATCACGTAGAACTGTTGTTCGTCTGTCTCGTAACATTGTTTTCAACACATTAATAATCACACGGAACATGTGGACTAGTCGACTAGGGCAACATGACTTCAGCAATTTTGCAAAGACTCTTAACTGTCAATGTATATGTCTTGTTTGGGGACGATTTTGGCTGAAGTGCCCATCAAGCAATACAATGGTTTTCTGTTAGGTTTTTTTTTTTTTTTTCTGTTAGTTTTCAGTCAACAATCGTTTGACTGCAATAAACTGTCAAAAAAAAGAAGTAAAAGAAAAGAAATAAAAAAAAAAGAAAGAAAGAAAGACCTCGATGACAGCAGTTCTCAAATCCCATGAAGCAAAGCCTTCAGTGCCTGCTATTCTCACTAGTCACAAATCTTAGGTTAGATCTGGTAGCCCAAAAAGGTGGGGGTGGGGCAAATTTGATGGCATAGTATATGCGTGTTATCTGACTTCTGGGAAGCAATTTGGCAAAATTGACATATTACTGAAGTGATGCCGCCAATGTCAACTCATCCACGTGCTGTTCTGCATGATTACGAGCGAGTTGAAAACAATGCGATCAGACGAGCAAACAGCAAGTACGCGTGTCTGCCTTTTTAGACTTACTGAGCATGGAGCCATTTACAATATAGAGGGGTTTGCCCTTTTCTTCATCTCCCACAATGCATTGCAGGTGGACATATTGAAAGTCTACCCCCACAAACAAAGTGTCCTTTGGCATTCGTCATGCTTTGTTCTTGTAGTCTGTAATAGTCATGGGAAAGGATGGAAAAGTTGTCTTTCGACTCCCAAAAATCATCACAAACCAAGAATTTGATGCTCATCCAAAAGAAAAGCGATCTATCACCGGAAGCTAAGCTGTTGCTAGAATTAGCAGGTCTGCCTATTACTGTATGATAGCATTTATCTAGCAATCTAGATTGTCAAAGTCCACTAAATACTTCTCGCCCCATGAACTAATCTAGATACTTACATTTAACAACATCCTGGCTTTTGCAATGAAAAGGTGACACAGCCTACCGCCATGGTCTAACGCATGGGATTGTGGAATATGTTACTATTTTTAGCATAAAAGCTAAACTCCTCTTTTGCTTCAAACACAGTGTTGATTCTTTTTAACATCAATTCTTTTTACATCTATGCACTCTGTGGGAGTGTCAGGTATGAACTTTAATTAAAGTGAAAACAACACGATCGCGACCATGTCACGTTGCTTCCCCGAAACCAGTTGTCCTGGGCAAATATTTTGAGCACCAGATTAACTTGTTTAGATCTGCAAGTACGAATTCTGCGTCAGTGAAAGTGTGATCTCAGCGATGTGGGTGGAGCAGGGGTGCAGAAACAGGCGACGATTAACTTAATTTATGGGTCTGCTACGCAAGTTAATGTGACATATGACAAAGTGACATATTTTTCAAATGGGTCTCCATGGAACTTACATCCACATTAAAGTGCCCCACTTAAAGAATAAGGGCCACCCTTAAACTTCAATGGGTCATGCCTCTTTGGTGTTTGCAAACAAAGTCTGGATGGGACACTCGGTGCAAGCCAGCTGCATTGGCCAGCTGCATAAGAAAAATGGCATTAGCGCAAACAGTACAATGTTATGTTTTGGAAAATGAACATTTGAATTGCTTGTATACAAACATTCTGGTCCCTGGAGTGACTTCCCATCAAGTGTGAAAATAAACAACCAGGAAATGATTTTGTTCACTGTCCATTTCCAAAAATGTGTCCATGATCAAGCTGTTCAGAAATTTGCCGGTTTGTGATCTAACAATTTGACAAATTATCAGGATACTCCTGCCAAAACGAGTTTTTCTGCCCATGACTTGGCAGCTGGACAGGGCTTTGTCATTTTTAAAGCAACAGCCAGTGTCTGGCTGCATGCCGTGCCACACAGAGGCATATCATAATAAGGACAAAAGGTAATCAAAGCTTCCACTGTTTGGTAAATAGTGTTAGCTAACAGTGTTAGCATTATCCACTGGCAACTGGCAAATACTTGAATGCATGACAATGTTGCTGACATGAAGGCCTCGGGGTATTTGCGTGCAGCATTGTGTCAGATGCATGCACCACATGCATGGATCTGCTCCAGTCATTGTGTAAGTGTTATTCCATTGTTTGGAGAAGTGATGCCCGTGTATGTGAAAATCACATACTTTTTCTTTATACTCTGGGCTTGTCACACTACACATTACCTTCCCCGATTGTGGTAATGGCAACCGTTCTCACCACTGGTGAAGCACAACACACAAGACAGGATGAGCAGTGGCACATCTGCATGAGACAAGATGTGAAAAAAAAAGTGAATGTTTAGTGTACTGTGATTCTTGATCCTCTAAGTACAGTATTTTGTGAAGACACCAAGATACAGTTCTAGTTAAACTTGCGAATAAAAAGAGCATAATGTCTCTTCTTGCTTCTGCTGTGTAACCAGGTGCATATAGGGTCCACGTGTTAGTTACTTCCTCTGCCTCTTTCACTGTCAATGTTCCATTCATTTGCTTTTGTCATTTATGTCCCTGTTCTTCATTGGGTTGCATTCTCCTGTGCTTCCCCTCTCCTTTGCTCTATCTGTTCCATTTGCAAGGTGTGATATTGCTTTAATTGAGCAGAAACATGTGGAGAGATCAGACATATCTCGGGGGATTAGAGGAAAAGCTTGGAGTTTGTGCGACTGGCAGCCTGTGTTTGGAGCAAGGGGTCTGCTGGGAATGAATGTAGTTAGTGTGAC